GCTAGTACTGATGGCACTGATCAGTCTAAATCACCTACGCCGAGCCAAACAGCTAGTTGCTGGTAAGTTCTCATCTAGCTCTAATGACCTCGTTCGGAAAGATTGTCCACCATTTCCGCATAGTGAAGAACTCCCACTGTCTCCGAGGTCTAATGGTTCGGCCGGTTCTATCGATTGTCAGGATTCAACAGCAGTCGAAGCCTCTAGTTCGGTGCAGCCGCCAGAAGTTCTAGATAGTGGAGGGACCAGTTCAACACCTTCCAGAGCCGTAAGTTCTACTCCTGATGTTACATCATCCACACCAGGGGGGCGTATAAATCCTACTCTGAGATTCGGTGTCTCTGTTCGTAGTGATGTTCATCTACGACAAGGTTGGTTGGTGATCTCTACGGCTCCTACCTATCAAGGGCTTGTTTCTGTTGTTGAAGACGCTAACGACTCTGACACGGTTGTCATACGTCCTCTCCGTCTTCAACCTGGTGGTGTTGGCGAGTTGTCTACCATGGACGACGATGTCATTCACGAGGTTCAAAGGAACGAACTAATCTTCGTGACTTCCTCCTCAAGACCCCTTACACGATCATTACTTGAGAAGGTCACCAATCTGCTCACCCATATAGGGTCTAATTAATAGAGTCTATCCATGTCTACATGCTTATCGGTTTCACTCAGTTAAGTGATCATAACCATCTCGTCTATATATAAATCCGTCTTGTATGCGGTAGAGCATGTATTCACGACTCTATTTTCTAATTAAGTATCTATGATGATTAAGTATCTATGATGATTAAGTATCTATTTTATTTGATTTAGCATATTAGATTATGCTTCTAGATATTGCTATTCGAACAACCTTCTAGTCTATCTTGTTAGTTAATTAAGATATTCTAATGTGTTAAATGAATCTACTAGAAGTATCTAGTATTCATTTGCGGGGTATGTGCTGTCCCATCGTGGCAGCGCGACAAAGATCTCGCTCGCCTCGTATTCTATTGTTGAACTATAATATTATTATTCTCGCTCGGATGCATCTATCTAACGGTTTTGGATACTAGAAACGGTTAGATCCGTCTCTGGTTTTCTCTAAGCTAGTAGCTAGTAAGCTAGGAAAGCTAGTATTCTAGTTGGTAATTGTTAGACTGGACTGAGTCCAGTGACTGATTGTGTGATCTGCTACCTCATCCTAACTCTAGTTCTACTTGAGTTAACCAGTCCTCACTAGTATCGCATCGTAATCTCTATTGCCTCACCTGATCGTGTTACAAGCTACACGGGATGTTACTTAGATCTGGAATGAAATTGTCTAACCGTGATCGCTGTGCATTTCCTCATGATTCAACAGGTTTAACTCCCTCTACACCTCCGTCTAACGACGCGACTGAACCACCAAGAAGTACATCTACTTCAAGACCACTACTGATTTCTTCTAGTTCTACTCTAAGTCGTCCCGTACA